AAAATTTAAAATCCTCATGATTAATTTACAGCATTAGTTGTAGTGTCATTTATATCGCTAGATAACTGGGCAGACTGAATTTATCACATAAGAATTATTTAATTTTCAAAATAAATATTTAATGCTTTTGAAAATAAATATTATTTTTYTATATCTATAATAAAATGTGTAATCATTAGATAACATTAAGGTCATGTTGATCGGGATTTCACATTCATGCTATGATATGCAGTAATTTGTTTTTATTGTTTTCAAARAMTTATTTAATGCTGCACCTGCAATATATGCTATTATAGACAGAATATTTAAAATAAAACATAGATAATGCAGAATAAAAAAATGCGCAAAATAATTAATTGTTGTATTCAAAACACACCCATTGTTAACTTTAATATCTATTGAAGTTTTACCGTATTCTTAGCATCAGTTGTACTTAGTAAAGTTTTTTTGGAAACCCATTTTTGTACGAGACTAAATTAATAAATGGTGTGGGAAACATGCTCGAATATTTGCTAACTATAAAATATAATTATTATTTTTAATAAATTAACCAAAAATTTCTTGTAAACGTGCACGTAGTGAGTGATCATTAGTATTTATAACTGTGCGTAAAAGAAATAGCAGAGCCCACTCATACAAGTCACAGCCTCGATGCAGAATGCATGAATGATAAACATTTTACGCTCATAGCTCATCTTTATCTACTTTTTGTCCATTTTTCCTTACAAACCTTAATGATCAAATATTTCAGTTAACTAATCTGAATTCATAAATTCATTATGTCTATTTRAGATCCATCATTTTAAGATTTCTGATTTAAATTCCATTAATCAACGTTTGCAATATTCAAGATAGTCAAGCCAAATATATAGTTGTTGGCAGAGTGAAATCCGGGAAAGTAAACTGACCAATCTCAAGTAGACATCACGGTGAATTCAAATCAGTTTTAAAAAGCATAATCACATTACTAGGTCAATGACGATGGACAAAATATTGGTATGAAATAATAAAATAATGTAATAAAAAATAATTGTCCACCACCAAAGACTTTACAATTACCTTTCGATTGWACAAAATAAATACTTTTGTTTTAGATTCGTTTTTTTTKTTTTTGAAATACCTAATTTGTCATGAACAGCTAACCTCAAAACATTTTATATCTGCAGCTTWAAACAAGTTTAATTTTGAATATTTGATTAAAATTCAAAAGTTTTAAAAAAAAGTACAATTTCTATGATATTAAAATTAAATAATAAATGATTAAATTTGGTCATTCTCTTTAAAATGCCATACAATTATTTTTTATTCCTGGCCTAGTATCYAAAATATGTGTAAAATATATTAACAAACCTATATAATTATATTTTTAATAGTAGATGAAAATATCATGTTATTGAAGTTTTATTTAAAAATCAAAACAAAATACATTTTTCTATAAAAATATGTTGTATTATAATTTTAAACTAGTTTATTATAACCAATACCAACTCCAGTTACTAAGATTTTTGAATCACAGCCTTGGCGTAAATCTTCATTTTGAGAACTAGTATAAGGTTCCAATTTAAATGATATCCCAAAAAATTCTTTCAAATGTCTTAAAAATTGAATCCTACATTTTTTTTTTTATAAAATAAATCAAATTTATTAGTTTTAATAGATAAATATTATTAATTTTAATTTTAAAAATAACTACTTACGTGTAAGGTGATAATGGTCCTAATACAACATGAGATACATCTTTTTGTCTAAGAGCCATGTAAAGAAGTACAATGGATTGAAAAGAAGAGTCTATACAACCCCCGCGCCAAATCTCTTCAAGTATAGCTGATGCTGCATTTTCTGCAACTTCTTCTGCTGTTGTCCTTTGACCAGTAAATGGCAGTGAAACACTATCAGCAGTTAATACTATTCCATTAGTTGTTGATGCAACAATATTWGCACCAAAACCTGGGGATTTTCCACATAGTTTTCCTTTTGGATGATCCACCGTAAAATATACATCAGGGATAAATTTAAGCATAACAGATTTAGCTTTTTCTACCATCCGATTGGAAATTGATGGTGATACCCTCAATGAAAAAAATGTCCCTCTAATTTTTTTAATTTTTCCAAAATCTGTTAACTTTACATAAAAAATAAATTGTTGATAAATTATAGGTAGAAGAAAGATTATTATTTTACTTGTAATGGTTTAGTATATTTAACAGGTTCACACGAAAAATATATTTCCCCTCCACCATCTGGTTCCATTCCTCGTTTTTTTATTTCCAAATTTGCGTCTGTAGCTAATAATAATATCCTCTGAAGAATTATTAGGGCTCCAGCTTTAAAAGCATCAACTGATGGATCTTTCTTTAAAAATAAATAAATATTTTTATTTTCAATAAAATGTATAAACCGCTTTAATAACTTACTTGATTATTAGTAACTCCTTTAAGTGTGGCTTGTATTCCTTTTTTACAGTAAGGTGCAATCATGATAATTAGTTCTAAGTAATACCCTATACCTCGTAATTTACAACAATCATGATCTATTGCACCACCAATAAGTAAGCCAGGTTGAAAATATAAGTCAGTACCAGTCTCATTGACATCCAAATTAGTTCCATTAGTTAATTTGTCAACTAAACGTAGGAAATTTACTTCAAACTCTAAAATTGTAAAGACAATTATTATTAATTTGTGATATTTCGTATCTTAAAAATATATTTTTACCTTTGAGCCCAGGTTCATTTTCTTGTGATCGAATATTTCGTATTTTAACTGGCTTACCACTTAGAAGTGATAATATTATTCTTGTACGAAAATTACTGCAGCCTTCAAAAATCATAATTTCTTTTTAAATGACAAATGAATTGAAGCATAAGTATAAAAAAAAATTAAAATTTAAAGGCTGAAGCCTAGAACACACAATAGATAAATAGACATTAAGCAGCAATGTTTGCAGCATGGGCGCATGGCAGCCTACTATCAGTGCTATCTCGGAGTATAGGATCTCTAAATAATATACAAGTTCTTATCATAATTTGGAATGATGGAATAATGTTTGGAAACCAGTATGACCATCCAATGAAAAATTAAATTATGAAAAAAAAGTATTTAGTGTAATAAATCACAGAACAATATATTATTAGCACAAATCAAATAGTTTATTATTCTGTGATCAAATACTATACAGGCTAAATACTACAATACGGAAATATGTATAAATTTTCTCATAGAGACTATGTTCTGTGGTTCTGGGCGTTCTGGCGACTGGCGCGATAAACGTCAAAGTGGTTGCCTATTCATCCCCTTAAAATATAATAGTTATAATTTAAGGGATTTTGTATAGGCAAATACTAGTGAAGTGATCGCTACACTCCGATAGATTGAACACACGTTCACATCGGTCGTTCAAAACATGAGTTGTTCAATGGTAAAATTTACTAAGGAGCAAGACGAGATATTGGTTGAATCTGTATCTAAACACCCCACAATTTATAATCCCCAAAGTAAGAATTATAAAGATTTAAACAGCCGGGATGCAATTTGGAAAGATATAAGTTGCAACGTTGGACGAAGTGGTAAGCAAAATATTATAAATATTGTTTGTAAAAAATATTAAATTTCTAGGAATATAAATAACTTTGTTTTTACATTGACATTATAATATTACGATTATAACAAGTATACAACAGATAATTTAACCATTTAAGTTTAAAATAAATAATTATTTWCAAGGTAAGACTATATATAACACTGTCTACTTATGATTGAGTATTTTAGAATTGATGAAAGCACGTGTAGGTACATCTATACAACAAGCAAAAAATAAATTATAATTTCTGGACATTTATTTTTATCGTGTATATTATAATATCAAAACTAATTTTAATCTCCGTGATATATTATATTATAATGAATTATGAATTATTTTTAAAATATTAAAATAGTAAAATAATTTTTAAAATGTAAGCATTTTTGTGTTAGACGGTTACTTATATTAAACATTGTACACATACTTAGAAACAGTTAAAACTAATTATTTATTTATTTTAAAAAAACACACTAAGTATTGGTAGATGATATTCTTGAAATTTGGTGATTTTGCCCCGAGACTGMACCTTCTTGAATAAAAAATTGTTTAAATTTTCCCCTAACATCAAAACTATCTGCACTCACAAAACCACCTCTACTACATAAAGTGCCCATCTCAATACTTTATCCTTCGTCATATTCATAGTAAATTTTATTACCTTTTTCTAAAAACGCATCTCTCAGCATATTATGCCAACAACATGCGACAATAACTAAATCGTCGCATACTTCTACATCAATTGCTATTGCAGTATGAAATACTCTGAAAACTTGTGCTAATAAGCCAAATGCATTTTCCGTCACTCAACGACAACGACTCAACCTGTAATTAAAAATAGTTTTTGCTCTATCTTGTCTAGCCGTAGATCTAGAGTACGGCTTCATTATATGTCTGTGAAGTCTGAATGCTTCATCGCCAACAATAACAAATGGTGTAGAATTATCAGAGCCTAGTAGTTTTTCGTCACTTGGGAAATTAAAATTGCCAGAATAAATTTGCTGTCCCATTATTTATTTTCCAAATATGCCGCTGTCTCCTTCTTTACCATAGGACCCGACATCAATGGCTAAAAATTTACAATTCGCATCTACCAGTGCTAATAAGACGAGAGAAAAATGTTTTCTGTAGTTAAAATATAAAGAACCGGTATTTTTTGGGCACTTCATTCGAATATGTTTACTATTGATTGCGCCAATACAATTTGGAAAATTCCATCTTGTCCAAAACTCTTGAGCTTTATCTTTCATATTTAATTTACTCGGATTAGGTATACAATGTGTTAACAGATGCTTTTTCATAGATTTTAAGGTATTTTGTATTATAATACTAATATAGCTGTGTGATATTCGGAAAGCAAAAGATAAAGAACGGTACGTTTCTCCAGAAGCTAAAAATCTGAAAAAAATAATATACATAATATATTATATGCATGCCATTTTTTATTAATTTATTTGAATCAAAATATACTATAATAATATAATAGCTGGTACTAATAACTAAATAACCGACAACAATTTATGTTATACATATTTTATTTGTTAAAGTTAACGAAGTATAATTTTTTAATCTACAGCTTACTAATTAATATACTGCAGTATACAGATGCGTTTTATGTTTATATCTGCAATTTCAATACACCATAAAATTTTCAAAATATTTTAACTTTTGTTGAGCTATTTATAAGCATAATACATTTTCGGGTTTTTTTTATTTTTTTTTTTTGCTAACGTCGATTAAAATGTATTCGATCGGTCAAAAAATTTAATACAAGATTCTTCATAGGTAAACTTGTTTTAAGTGAAAATCAAAAAAAAAGTTGAGTGTAATTATTTGATTGTTTTTTATAAATTTTATAATTTTTTTTATAAATTATGTTTTTATTATTAATCAGTATTTTAATAATTCTTGTTCGAAATCGATTACGAATATTTATTTGTACTAGATGAAGACTGCAAGAGACGGTACAAGAATATTAAATATGCCTATTTAAAAAATAAACGGGCAAGAATAATGAATACTGGAGCAAGTGCCTCTTCAAAACCCTCAAAATGGCATTTAGCACCATTTTTAACTTTTTTGGATACAGTACCACAAGAAAGAAAGTAAGTACCTTATTACATATGATAGAGTGATTGGTTTCAAGTGCAACAATAATTATTTCGCAAACTATTAACTTTTTTTCAAAATTTGTTTTTTTTTAAATTTTTTGATACATATTTTTTAATAATTGCAGTTAATATTAATTTGGCTATAATAACAAATTATGAACATTTATTATTCATTTTAATAGCACTACATCAAATATATATGATACTGATAATAAAGAAGATTCTGGCTCAGACGAAGAGGAAATAAATATCACACAAGATGATATTATACTCCAGGCATTACCAGTAACGCATGGTCCTCAATCTCCGTCGACTTCAAAAGCACAAAAATCGACTAATAAAAGAAAAAATTTAAAAGTCACTGAATTATTGGAAAAAAGATCTAAAGAAAGAATAGAGCTGATGACACAACTGATTGCTAAAAAAAATACGAATGAGTACGATGATGTTGATAATTTTTTCAAAAGTTTAACTCTATCTGTCAAAAAGTTGCCACCACACTTAATTTCACAGGCAAAATTGAAAATGTTGACAATTGTGATTGACTTGGAACTTCAAGCTGCAAATAATCAYATACATGTAACGTCCACATCATACACCTAGCAGTAGCAGAGTATCATTACAGTCAAATACTTCWACAAGTAGTTCCCCATATTCTAACAACTTTACTCCATACAGTTATAGTCCACCATCACTAGATTCATAATTATATTCAAATATTGAACAACAGTTTGGACCAGCAAATCCAACGACATTTACGCCTTTCCAGTCAGTTCAAAATACGAATGATGAATGGAACACCAATTCTCAAGAAATTTAGAAATTTAACAATATATTTTAGAATATTATCTTAGAAGGTATTTTGATTTTTTTTTAAAATTAATTGTTCATAATAAGTCAATTAAATATATGATAAGGTAACTATTTTTATTTATTTTAATCAATAAAAAATTGATTTATTATTAACTTTGATATAAATTGTATATTAAAATAAAACAAMAGTATTCCACAAATAAATKTATRAATCTGAGTTCTTATTTCATTTTACTTTATCTGTACCTAATTGAAAAATTGTACTTACCTCAATGATGTAACCGCCAATTTTTCTTCTGRTGATAACTGATATGGGTTTCCTTATAACAAATGTTGGATTTATTGTTAAATCGTCTCTTATTATAGATTCAAAATAAAACCGAACTGATTACGATTTAATCTAAAAAATTCCCTAAACTTAATTTCATTATTTTTCGGATGGCCGTTGATAAGTATTTCATGATAACCTTCGGTACTCCTCTTTGTAAATAATGGATCATGCTGCTTTCTTTTTTCTTCTGACAAATACCAGTGTAAGATCTTACATCATCATCTTCTTCTTCTAGCAAAAGAATTTTTAAGATTTCTTCATCGACTGTATCCGTTGTAATAATTTTTAAAAACGAACAGTACTCTACTACGAACAGTGACAACACGATGAAATTTTTCAACTTTTTTAGTTTTTTTTTCTATAATAAATAACGATAAAAATTTATGTGTTCGGTAGAAAAGCTTGAAAATATCCATATACCCATAGTTTAAAAAACATGAATAATTTTAATTTTTTTATTTAATTATAATTTTTTTTTTAAATGTCTCCCATTCTTATTACGGGAAACCGAATGGCTATTGCCTATTGCCGGAATGGCGGAATGCATAAAGTGTGTTAACTGAATCTATTATTTTATAGATCGAATGCCCCTATAATAATTTTAATATACCTAGTATTATTTTTCTTGTAAAAATGTATAATTGATTTTTATTTTCCTGATCTTTGCATTCCTATGTTTATGCGCACCCATTCAATCGTGTATTATAAAAATATATTACGGATTTCAAATTTATTTAGATTAGTTTTTGATTTTTTATTGTAACTAAGCTATGGGCAGACCTGCTGCAGTTGACAATATATAAATTTTAGATTCTGAGCGGAGCGAGGAATGTATTGATTTTACCATGATGTGTATGTTTTTTTTTGTATTTGTCATTACGTTTTGGGGCAGTAAAAATGCTTCGACTTTWAACTTCAGTACCTTGTTAAATCAGAAAGTGAATCTAGTTAATACTTTGGGGGATCAAAAGTAAAAAATTCTCAATATTTTTCTAAATAATCAGGATAAACAAACTAAAAATTAAGGATAAAAACAGGAAATKTTACGCACCATCAGTTTTCGACAAAATCAATTGGTTTTTGATGCCACTTTAAAACAAATGACTATAGATACATGAAATTTTCACCGAATGCTTATATAAGTATGTTCTATCCACCATGCAATTTTCAAAACATTTTGACTCAAGTTGAACTATTTATAGGCATATGCAATTTTCGATCATTATTAATTTTTTTTWAAATTAATATCGATWAACATTTATTTGTTGGGTAGAAAAACTTGAAAATTTAATACAAGGCTCCTAACATATTTTTACAATAGCAGTTGAAAAATAAAAGTAATACATTGTTACAATTTTTTTTATAAGCATTTAAAGTTTGAATTTTGACAACATATTATGTAAAAATCACAAAAATTCATAAATTATTATATGCTAGAAATTCATAAAAAAATTTCCTTTTATATCAAGATTTGAAAATTTAATAAAAGGCTCATAATATATTTTTACAATAGCAGTTGAAAAATAAAAGAAATATAGCCACAATTTTTTTTTATAAGCATTTAAAGTTCAAATTTTGACTAAATACATAAAAATTACGGCAATGTTCAAATTATTTTATGCTAGAAATTCATAAAAAAAATTCCTTTTATATCTAAGAATTTTAAATTGTATATAAGGCTACCAACATATTTTTACAATAGCAGGTGAAATATAAAAGAAATATACTGGCCCAATTTTTTTTACAAGCATTCAGTTTGAATTTTAACAAAATATGTAAAAATCACGAAAATCACGAAAATTCGCAAATTATTTTTAACTAGAAATTATTAAAAAAATTTCTTTTTAAATCTAAGATTTGAAAATTTTTAATAATCTATAATATATCCTAGACAGATAAACCGTCTTCGCTCAGTATCGTTTTTCGTATACAATGATATAATATCATTGGATTCAAATTTAATTCCATCCATTACAGTATGGTACCCACTTGTATTTTGTAACCTACTGTACAGCAGAGCGACATCCACGACTTACCCGCCTTTTTTAAATTAATATCGATGAAAATTTATTTTTTGGGTAGAAAATCTTGAAAATTTATACAAGGCTCTTAACATATTGATACAATAGCAGTTGAAAATTAAAAGAAATTAATAGTCACAATTTTTTTTATAAGCATTAAAATTTTGAATTTTGACAAAATACGTAAAAATCACAAAAATTCGCTAATTGTTTTAAACTAAATTAAATCTAAGATTTGAAAATTTTTACAAGATTCCGTACAAATTTGTCAATCTTTATCAYAAAAAAAATGTCCACCGGAAATTCAAATTACATTTTTATTAGCATTTGAATTTCAAATATTGACAAAAATTCGTCAAAACCATGAATATTCGCAAATTATTTTGTAGTTCAAAATTCATAATATTGTTTATATTTATATCTAAGGTTATAAAATTCAACACTAAGTTTTCCTTCAAATAGGTATAGAAAAAATTTGAAGCTTCATTATAGGAAAAATGTTTTGAGCATTTGAGTTTTAAATTTTTATGAAATCGCGTAATGGTAACGATTTATCCTCAAACCCGGTATATGTATATCTATGATAATATAAGGTATTATGAATTATGATAACTACATGCAATGTTTTTGGAAAAATTGATTAACCATGCCTTATKCAAAATGCRTCYTAATTGAAAAATAATATATTTGTTTCAAAATAGAATATATGACAATATTTAAATATAATAGATCCTAGACTGACAAATCATCTCCGTTCAGAATCGTTCTTCGTATACAATGATACCTATCATTGCATTCAAATCTAACCTACCCTAGTCAGAGGTCCACCTCACCACCTATTGTACAGCAGAGCGATACCCACTTTCTCGCTTTTTTAAATTTGTTGGTTATAATATGAACTATTTATGGGAATCTGTGTTTTAAATTTTCAATCCTTAGTTATGAAAACTAGTCAAAATATTTTGAAAATGTTATGGTTTATAAAAAATGTTAATATAAACATTCAGTCAAAATTGCATGTATCTACTATATTTTTTCAGGATCAAAATCAGACAACGTTAACAAACTTAAATTTTATCAAAATATAGTAAGTTGTCTAAAGTCGTAAAATTCGTATACTTAATTTTATACCTTTTTGAGTGCATGTGTGTCGTGAATGGTACCAGCATTTCATTTCACTCAAATAATCATTTACAACTACAACCATAGATCCAAGGAGGCTAAGAAGTAATTAGTGAAAAATGTAGTTTATAATAATAAGGATATTCTAGAACATAGAATATATTATTTTGGAATCTATGAAACAGGAAAAATATTTCACATTTCATACTTATTAACTTGTTTTATTTGGAAAATCTAAAATTTAAATACATAGTAATGTATACTCTATTTCAAATGAGAACGAACTGAGCGGTAGACGAAGAATGATTCTAGTTTGCGCATCCAMCTCACTTCACAGACCATTGCCGTTGACTCCCTGCGATCTGCCGTCGCTGTCACCATGCGCCAAGCCGTATGTACGAACGTTGTCCGTTCTCATTTGAAAAGAATACCTACAGTACACTAAAGACATGAGTATTACCTTTAGGTATTTAAATGATCTTAAATTTAAGAAAAATATGATATAATTTATATTGTTTATATAATTTTAACACATAAGGAATTTATCTTTAAATTACAATAGTGAGAAATATTTTCAAATCATTTAAAGTACAAATAATCATTGGAGATCATTGATACTTAACAAAATAGAAGATTTGTGCTTCCAAATATTTTTAAGAAGAGTCACTGTCCTGAAATATATTTATCAAATATTATTTTATAATGTAAAAAAAAATGATCAAGCAAATTACTTAAACCTAAATGTACATTCTAATTGTTTATGTTTACCAGATAAACAAAACAATATTATTATTAGATCGTAGATTGGCAAGGCAATAAAAAAAAATTAATTGATTAATTTTAAAACTTGGAATTTTTAGTATTAGACCCAAGTTTTTATTTTAAGTTTATGTACCATATTTAGTGTAGATATATTACAAATCATAACTCTCTAATGTTTTCTATAAATACTGTTGTAACAAACTAAGCAAAAATTTGATATTTACACTTAAATTTGGTACAACAGTCAATATTTACACACACACACAAATATGGTGCTATACACTACTTATAGGTGTAAAACGCAGGGGAGCTAAAGGGTTCCCCCCCCCCAAATTAGACCAATTTGAGCCCATGACCCTCCATACATACATAAGGATAACTAATATAAAAGATGTATCTTTAATATATAGATAACATTTAACTGAATTGATGATTTAGAAACTGCATTCTTGTTCTTTAAAACTTTAAAAACTTTAAAGATAATTAAATCAGTGGCGGCTCGTGTCAATGAGCAATAGTGGGATGCACTCATCACAATATGAAAAAATAATAATTTATAGAATTATATACTAATATAAATGTCTGTCGATTATAGTATAATTTTAAAATTAAAATAATTACAACAATGTTAAGGAAAAATTATTGTTTTCCAAGAAAATGTACATAATAGTAGTTTATATTTAGTAATCGGATAATCCAATTTGTTACAGAACTTGGAGCAACTGAGTATGTTCCCTATAATTTATATCTGTATTAGCAAACAGAGACAAGCATAATTGGAAAACCGTGTTTTTTTCCTTATKTATAAAACTTGGTTACACAGGAGATGGTGGAAAGGCTAAGATAGTCGGATTGTCGCAATTTATATTTTATATACCGAATGTTAAAGCAACCAACCATGCATCAGTTGTAATCTAATGTTATTAAAACTTAACCATTAAATAAATAACATAAATACTAAACAAYATTTATATAAATCAAAAAATATACATATTTATTTAATCTTTGTTGCGACTATGGTGTGTTAAATGTAATTTTATTGCACTACCATGTCTGACTATTACACACCACCACTGAGTTAAATAGATAAATTATAAAACTAACTTAAAGATTTAAATTATTTGTAAATTTCAAGGAGTCAAACCAAAAATTACCTTTAAACAATTACCAACTAAATAATTTGCCTTTAACTAAGGGCTCAGAACATTATGCGCTAAAAAATAATAAATATGCAAAATATTATTATTTTATTGTTTTATAAAATAGGTATTTCTATGGCAATAAGCTTCAAAAAATACATACCTATCCAAATATTTTCATTATAAATATTTAAAATAATTGTTATTAAAATTTGGCTTTTTTTAAATTTAACTTACAATATTATCATTTAATGAAAATCAATTAAAAATCAATATTAAATCTAGATTAATTTATAATATATACAGGCACTCAAAGGCGCTATATTTTCAAAATTGTATTTTATTTTTATTTTTTGATTTATTAACAAAATGTTAATATTGAWTAAAATAAAAATAAATTGTTTCGATTTGTAAAACTATACAAGAATATGATACATTCATTGTTTAATTAAAGTTTTATATATTGAGAAATAAATTGGTGCTGAATAAAATTTTGACTAATATGCACATCACAAAAAGTTTGCAAATGCATGAAGTTCCCAGCCCTGGGCTTTGTTAAACTTTGTTTTTAATAAGAATAAACCATTTAGTGTATGATAAATTATTTAAGTAAGGAAATCAGATCTCATTAGTTTTAAATACTTTGCAACAGTATATAATTATAAATGGTAAAAAGTGGCTGCAGCTTTACACTTTTTAAAGAAATTTGTTTTAAGAGGAATCAAAACTAAGACCAGTCTTTRTCCACCAAYTGGTTTATTCTTAATTAAAATGGGGTATACTCTCAAAGGTGAATAAATGTAAATACATTTGTATTCTTTTCTTCAAGTTAAATATTTATATAAAGACTTATGGTAGACTTAAGGAGATAATTGATGTACCGTTGGATCACATTCAGCACAGTGCCATGAGTACCCACGTACTTTTGGTGATTTTTTCACTGGGGGATCAAGACAACAAAAATGAAAATTTTTACTGCATTCATCACACCTGTAGAAATAAAGTATATACATATAATATAAGAAGGGATATTTAAAGTTTGATTATTTATAATTATAACTTCTTTTTTTTATTAAAAAAGTAACTGTCTTTAAAGTTTTTAAGTACCAACCAAAATGTTTTCTTTTCATAGAAAAATAAAGTTTTTGTTTTATACTCAATGCATAATTATTAGAAACAACTAAAATATAGTTAAAGAAATCTGTATTATTCAATTAAAATAAAACTATCCTATAAACTATCCTTATTTTGACAATAGTTTTAAAAATATTAAGAAAATTCAAACAATTTCTCATACCAATAAATATCTCAAATAAAGGCAAAATATTTTGAAAATTTTACCACATATGGAAAATAATAATATAAATATTTTTTTTTAAGTATTTACAGTTTATACTGAAAAAAAATTATTTCAGAAAAACTTAGTTTTACATGAAAATTTCCATTTTTCTATTATTGTTTTTCTCACGCTTTCAAAAAAMTACTTGGAATTTCCAACTTTGACTGTTTGATTACTTACCTTCCCAATTTAATTTATTTTTCTATCAGAAAAGATGCYGATGTTCAATTTGGAGAATTTTCACCACCCCAAATGTTAATAACAGAAAAAAAWAGATAATTGTAAAAACAATTTATTTATCGCTAAGCCCAAGCATCTAGTTTATATATTTCCTCAAAAATTTAAGTCAAATATAATTGATATTTGTTTTAAAAATTTAAACAATTATATATTATATAAATAAAATTGCATGTCTTACAGACATCACGACTAAATTTAAAATCTCAAGATAAAATAATTTAAAATTCCTTTACATTTCAGCTATAAATTAATAACTATAGTATTTCTGTCTTTATGATACTTACTGAACCATTGTAGAGCTTGTTCCAGTTGTTTGACAAGTGTCACATTTAGGAGTCAATTTAATATCTGTTAATGTTGTCGTTATTCTGAGTGGTGCAACACTCTTTTCTTGTTTMGACTTTGTAGATGTCTGAGGTGGTTCATCTACTGGTGATGCAATAAGTAATTGTGAAGATGTTGTCTTAACTCCACTAGCGCTTGGTACAGATTTAATCTAAATAGTTAATATATAATTTTAAAATGATTCTAAAAATCTTTAAGTTATAAAAACTAACAAATAACTTAATTCCTTGTCGGGGTGYTTCATTAACTAAATAATCATTAGCTGGTTCCAATTCTGAAATATTATTAGCCCTGTGATGTTTATGTTTGCGTTTGCGAGATTTAACTCGTTTTGTTATTATTTCTGGAGAATATCTTTCCCTGTGCCGTTCATGTTTTTTTTTCTCTAAATATGTTTAAGGGCAAACAATGCCATTAATATAAACTATATTTAATATGATTCATATTACAAGTTAATATGTAAAAAATTAAAAATGTATTGCAATAAGATAATATTAAAATATTTCAAACCAATTTTATAACAATTTTGAAAACATCATAATTAAATTTTAAATTTAAAATATTTTGAACACTTACTTGACACACCGGACATTTTATTCTGTTCTGTAAGACTATTGATATCCTGTAGCTAATAGAAGATAAAATAATTGTTGATTGAATAAAGGAAACTTTTAKTTTATTAAATAACTTAATACTTACATCATTAACAATAGATGAAGATCGATGACTGTCAGATAAAGATCGCTCTCTTCCACCATATCTTAATTTTCTAGGGGCATTTGGATCAACTGTTTCTGGTTCAGAGTTAGAATTACTATTATCACACTCACTGCATTGCCTAATTATAATATATTTATCAATACAACTTTTTTTAAATATTCAATATTATTATTTACCATCCAAATAATTTTGTTTTCTTAGGCATTCTAGTCARTGGTGGATTTAAACAACCCAAATGATAGTATAAATAGCATGTGTCACATTTTGCCAGCAAATGCTGATCATTTGTACGACCACAAATACCACATTTATTGTACAAACCTAATGGCGCCACATTATCTRAAAAACAAAATATTTGAGTTTAATTACTTACGATAAAATCAAATACATCATATATATGACTATAAAACATTYAACACATWTTTTACCTGTAATTTCTAAATTCTCATTATTTTTGATTGAGATTCCAATTCCTGATTTTAAGACGRCAGGAGTAGGAGTTGAACTGTTTATTACTATATACAAATTTAAAAAAATTGATTTTTGAATATAAATTAGATATCCAGCTTATTAACAAATTATTGATTGATAGGTTTTAAAGTAAAATAAATTAAACTCACATAAAGAATCGTGATCATTTGGAATTTCTCTTGTAAATTTATCTATATCTAAAATATTAGCATTAGGATTGCAAAATGTAATGACATTATGGTATGCTGTAATAATATTTTTGAGTTCTAAATGTTTTTGTTTTTGAATTTCATTGTTTTTGGACTCCTACAAAATTTAATCAAAATATAATATATGTATTACTTGATATAGATATATCATTAAATAGTTGTATYACTTGATCATATTGTTTTTGAACAATGGTTAATTCATCATGAAGTTTGTTGTTTTGGTCASTAAAATGTTTTAGTTGATTTTTCAAATCACTCAATCTTAAATTTCTATCATTGAAATAACTTACAAATTCCAAACTAAATATAATAGACAAAAATAAGCATAACGAAAAAATAAATACAAGAATAATTTTATTTTAACTAACCTAAATGTAGTAGGTACATTCCATTTTTTTGGTACATCACGCAATACCTTTATTTGTTCTTCAATAGCCTCACAAGAATCCATATTTACACCCATTAAGCTACCTTTTAGCCAAAGTGCTCGGCATGCTGAAGCTGATGTTGTAATAGGACGAGGAACTTTTGATTTAAATGCTTTAAAAAAATAAACTATWAACTTAACTTGAATACAAATAAATTATTTTAAGTAACTTACTTGACTCTGTTATAATAATCTTTTTCGTTTCATAATACTTAGAACGTAATTTTTCAAGTCTACGTTGATTACGTTGCCATGTAGCTGATTTTTCAGAAGACTGTTGTTCACGTAATAATTTCATTTGCTTTGTTCTTAATTGTAGTACTTCCCAATTTCTTTTCCTTTTTCTTGAAAATAAATATGTATGTATCATTTATTAAAAAATTTAAAAAGAATATAAATAATAATAATGTGTTTAATTTAAAACAACAAGATKGAAAAATAATTACAAAAACTTAAAAGTTTCAGAAACACATTATCAGAATTAATTCATTTGACTTTAAAATAATAAGCATATATAAACAAAAAATGTATTTAAAAGATGAATATACTAACTTTGCTACCAGTTTGTCTACATGCAACTTGCAATGAGCATAAAATGGATCAGTTTGGTCAGTTTCTGGACTTGTTGCTTCAGATAAACTACCTTCTTGTTGGGCACTAATTAAAATTATTAAATACTTATAAAAACAGCTTCACTTTAATAGATAATTATATGTAATATACCTATATAGTCAACATGGTAAAATCTTATACAATTATACAACACATTATAACATATTGTACAWATAATATTATATTTTATAGCTGTGGTGATAATATAAAATAATAACTTTGAAGTCATGATAACTAGGCCACTAGGGGAACTAAGCAGATGTGAGCAATGATCGATTAATAAAGGAGACAAGTATAGATAAAGAGAATCCTGGTCAAGGTGAAGGATATAGTCTACGTAAAGCCTTTTTAGTAAATAGTACCTAGTTTAAAATTATGTAATAAGTAAATAATAAATATAGCTTAACAACTGTACCATATWAAGGCCTATAACCTAGCGTCAAATCATATTAAATAAAAGGAAACTTTAGAGTAGCACAAAAGAGGAGACATTAAAACATGATGAATAAAAGTTGTATGATTTACAATTATTATTTTTTTTATAATTTAATAATAGTATATATTTTTCATACCAAGTAACATGAAAATTAGATCGGCACATTCCAGCATCACATGCAATAGTCACACCAGTACGACTAAATCTCATATCTTTACACAAAGTACATTGTTTATTACCCCATCGAGGTGTAGTATTTGCAAATAACATAACTTTACTGAGACTTGTTACTTCACCAAAAGTTATACCAGGTACATATAAAGCACATACTAAATGTACCCATTTTCCACAATCTGTCTCCTTAAATATTCCACCTAAAACAAAATGTATTGATTTAAAAGTTTTATATATGTATGCCGTATGGTCAATAGAATKTATAAAATAATTTACAAACCAAAATTAGGACATAATTCACAAGTAGGATTTTCTATGCCTGCTTTACAAGCTTCACAAAACCAMGGTTCCATAGAACATGACGAAACAGATGAACTTACACTCCCAGAATCATGAACACCGTAACAACCTAAAATTAAATGCTTATTATATTATATTATATTGTTTAATATAGTTACATTATTATTAAACAAGTATTTACCTTCATGAACTGATATACCACATTCATCACAATCTATTAATTCATTGACATCATCACTGGCGTCGCCTAAACAAATACTACAAATATGAATATTATTTACTATTTCTCTTAAATTCACCTGAAAAATAAATAATAATTTTAAATAGAAAATTAACTATATAAAAATTAGTTAGATTATACTTTAATAGAAGTATCTTGATTAGGTGTCATGATACTAGTAACATCAGTAGTCATATTACTATCAATACATCTGTCATTATTAACTTCATCATCTTTTTCAGTTTCTTCTTGATCACCATCATCTTTTAAAATATATTTATATATGAGTAAAAATATAGATATTAACATAGAATTAAAAAATATATATAAACATTATAACATCAATTCAATTTTTTTTAAATTTACCATCGGTAAAAGTGAAATTTGAAGCTCTATCAGAATCTGATTCACTGTTAACATAGTGATCTTCAATGCGAAAATCACTATCAGATGAACTTTCACCATCTATATCATCTAAATGTACCAATTCTGGGTTAGCAGGAGGTTTTACTCTTCTTTTATTGGGATCACGTTCCACTATGAACATAATAATAAATTTAATTAAAATTATAATTGTTAAATGTATTATCTTAGCTTATAGTGCTATGTGTTAAATTATAAAATGCTTTTCAAAAAACAATACTATATTAAAGTATTAGGATGTGGTATCTAACTTGTATCTACCTATTTTTTTTTATGTGATTGAATTGAAAATAAACTAAATATTCAAAATAAATTGTCTGAATAAAAGCAAAAATCAACACTRTTGGCTGTTGTCAATAAAATTATTTCTATAAATAGTTTATATTTAGTTAAATTTAATGTRACCATCGCTTACATAATGCACTTACAACAATGACTTTGTGTTAATTAATTAATTATAAATTCAAAAAAGATTTATTCATTTGGCACTGTAACATTCTAAGCATGTTAATTTGATTAGTTTTTAAGTCGGGGATTTTTTTTCCAACTATCAAACATAGCGATCATATCAATCAATAAACGACTAGTCGAATTTGCAAAACTGACTAATCACGGTTAACCTCCATTTAAGTTTGACTAAATATAATTTCAGTTGGTTTTTTGATGGTGCAATACACTGGAGTGTTGCTTAAATAATTTTAAGTGTAACTTAAATATTAAGCAGAGATGGTGTAAATCRCATTGAGTATCTAAAATTATAATAAGATTTGTTTGTTTATTATTTTATAAATATGAACTGTATTAATTACAGACAATATTTTATATTTTAAATTTATATTGAACCACAGCAGTCAAGAAGACCAAGAGTCGACACAAACTAACAAAAATTAATTCGAATTTCAAATAAAGGATATTAATGGTATCAAATCTAAAATTAACACAAACATTCAATAAAAGGCCATACGAAACTACTACAGAAGTTGATGCTTATTATTAATACCAGATACACATGTTAGAAAATGACCGTTAATGTATAATACGAATAGCTAAACTTACTTTTCAGTTTTCCGTAAGTACTTTATTCTTCAAATTAATACAATATTCAATATTTAAATTTATATTTAGATATAGATTTAAWAGATTGATAAAGAAATGTGTACGAGAACGGCAAATGGAATCATCTTGTCMGAGTATAATCAGAATAATATAAACTATAAAGATCTTTACGGCTATAGTGTAAAGAATTTAAAGACACCTATCTTGACGCCTTAGTAATTTACTTATATTGGCTAATTAGTGACAATTGTTAACAATTTATTAGAAATAAAGTCATAAATTCATAATTATCATAAAAACAGAAAAATTCTGKGATATAACATATAACTTATGTCATCGTCATGACTTATGTGATATAAGCGAGGCGCCTGGACCGGCTGGACCCTGGACTAGACGCGCTACCTATATACTGTTGTGCGAGTATACTCGTCGCGTATTTACACTTGCAATTTGATAAATATTAAATATGCGACAGTTTCTATAGTACAGTCGGCCTTGGCACTGTTGGCAGGTTGCACATGACAATATGACATTATTCAATTATTGACATGTTTTAATGTTTACACTACACAATACACGTCTCATTGAAACTCGTCGAACGACTCRAACGTCACTTCAAATTTAAAACTATCGATACATTGATCCGTAGTCCGTTCATAGTTTATAGGAATAAACTCAATAAACTATACCGGATACATAAATTATAAGTTTATAATAATTTTTATTAATTGTATGTATGCATTGTTTAACAACAATGGCTGTCTAATGATATTGTCATGGTGAGGATATGAGCATTGGGCATATGGCTGATTCGCTGATTTATAAGCATGTAAATAATATTTTAACTATTTTATCCCACTCATTCTCGCCAGCTCGACCGTCATTGTTTAATGAGTAATGACTAACGAATAACGAGTAAACGACTAAACGAGTAAACGAGTAATGACTAATGAGTAATGACTATAAAAATATTAGAGCGTAGAGACGTAGAGCAGATGAATCTCAGAAAGTCAGAATCTCAGAATCTGTGACAAAAATTTTAAAATATCAAAATGGTAACTACTGCTACGCGTCTACGCAGTGTAGCCACTAGCCAGTTAGACTAACACTGTATAAACCATTGTAATTTGTAATACAGTCCCATTATAATATTAGGGATGGGTGCAGTTAGACCCCTGTGATAAGAGTTGGATCCCTTGGTCAATTATGGTATAAACATATAATTATTGTTTAGTGGTATCATAGAATATTAATATTCTATGGTGGTATCACAGAATAGATTGGTATAAACAAACGACAGTAAAGTTAACAACATTACATAGATAGATCACAATTCACAATATTATAATATTTGATACTACATATTACATAACAAATTAACAACATAACTGCWAACTATGATGAACTAAAAATTATATCATAACTAATTAGTAATTACTAACTAGTTTTTATAGTCTATAAAACTATAGTACAATACAGAAAACATATAGTAAGTTGTTTATACAATAGTACAATGTCTGTCTTTAA